CCATCACCAGACACTTAGGTTAAAAAGGAATTCAAACTGCAAAACGAATTTATGACAGAGCCATGAAAAGGCATACTCATCTTCAGTTTAATACAGGTGGTAGAAGAATCAGTTTCTGTGCTACAGACTGTTTCTTTTTTTCCTGAAATAAGATTTGTAATGAGAATGATTCTAAGCTCCACTAAAAAAAAAAAAAAAAAGTTTCAGAAAAGATTTCTACTGAGAGGAGCGACTAGAAATAGGAGATAATCATTGTAAACTCAGTGCTTTTATGGATGGAAGACCTGTTCTGCAGGAACTGAACTGACAGTTTTTCGCACATAGAACAGCTAGAAGTTGACGTCATTGTTTTTCAAACACTTGCTGCACTGACACATATGCCAATTTATGCACAAGCTTTCAGAATTAGCATGCATCCCTGAAGACATCAGTGAAATTTCTGTTTCTAAGTGGAGTTGATCATTTTTGAAAAACAAATCAGTAAAATAAATTATAGGCTCTATCTCTACTGGGTTTTTCAGACAGCAAATTTGCAATCAAATCTCCTACTACATTAGATTTCCTATGATTGTACCATAATGTCAGTCTTATGGAAAGGGTAATGGGTTGATATCTCCAAGGCATGACAGCTTTGTTAGGTTATATTTTAGTGTTCTTCACATGTAGCACTCATGCTTCAGACACATTTTCTGCACAGATTCATTTCTTGGAGAACTACAGACAACTGTATACATACAACTGAACTATCCTCCCCAGTCTGTCAGCACAGGAGATGTACTGTTGAGACTGCGCTAAAGGGCTCTGCTAATGTTTTAATATAGAAAAAAATGAATATAGAATACTTTGTTTAGATATATATGTATATATATAAAATGAAAACTGCTGAACAGCACTATCTCCATTTACCAAATGAGTGCTCACATGCCAAGAATTTCCAAGGCCAACAGCTAAAAATACTGGGGGGGAAAACAGGGAAATCAATTTAAACAATATATTTTCTAGCAATTCATTTGTTTCAGAAACTAGATATGTGATATATTTCCCTGATGGGAATTTTCCAAGATACAGCCTTGAACAAATACTGTTAAAAACTGGAATGTACAGAAATGATACACAGCAGAAGGACATTATTTGGAATAACTATGGCAAGAATTGTTTGCACTTATCAATATTATATTGCATAAAAATCTATAAAAATAAAATAATAAAGACTCTGCACACAGCAAGCCTCTTATTAGAGATAGTTTTTATGAAATGCATCCATACGAAACTATTCCCTTCCATCATGGCTGCTGGCAAAATGTAATGCTGCTCAGTGAGAGATTTAAACAATCTGCTGTGATGAGTATAGGAACTGATAAACAGTTAAAATTCATACTGCTATTGATTTTATAGAAAAGAGGAGAAATAAAGAAATGAGCCAATAGTTCCACAGAAATGGGTGGGTGGATGGATGGATAGTTCCACAGAAGGATAAAAATTACAATGAATGTACTATGGTGTAAGTTGCTGGGACACTACATTTGGAGAAAATCTACTCCAAATAAACTAGAACTATGCCATGGAGATCAATAAACCAAATACTAGATCATAGGATGATACTAGATCATCCTATGTGAAGGCAAAACCAGGAACTATGAAGGAGAAATACCAAGTTGAGCTAATAACAGTCAATATTTTTCCTCAAACACATAGTGCAAGCCTTACAAGAGATCCACACACAAATTCGAAAATCATCAATTCATTTTGTTAAAATTTTAGTTCTGCATTCAAGCATCCCCCCAAAAATCATTTCTCAATGTTTCCCATTTTCAGCTAAATAGTGAATTTTTTTCAAACTCCAAACACATTTTAAGAGTCATCAAAATCCAAAGCAGATCCATGACAGGTCGACAGCAACTACAGCCCTATTCCCCTCCACACCAATATGGAAAAATAAATATAATTTGTCAGCTTTTAACATTCTCCTGTCGGTGTCTGTGGTGACAGCTGGGTACCACTAAAGGGAAAAAAGGCTGAACACATGGCATTGTAAATGGAGAGGGGAGGTAAAAAAAAGCAGTGGTGGTAGCTGCTGTAATCACACTATTAATCATACCATTTTGAGCGGCTATTGGTCATTCAACTGCTTATCAAATGAACAATGAGGACACAGTTCATCAATAACAGCAGCTTCCTTCAATATAGAAATTGATTCACTTTTTTTCCCCTCCATTTTTATTCTAATAAAGACAGGGGTATGGGGGGGGGGGTAGAATTTTATAGTTTTTCCAGGCAATATTATTTACTAACAATGAAGTTTTTGGATTTACTGGTCAAACTGTGCTTCATTTCACTTGTTTTAATAACAAGATAGTAAAATGACAGTGAAAAGTATGATAGTGGAAACCTATTTCCCATGTAGAGGAAAAAAAAAGCATAGGTGATATCTTAAATTTGTAAATATAAACCACATGAAATAATTTGAACCCTGAAATGAAAGTACTGAAAGTATTCAAATCATATTTGCAAAAGGAACTAAATTTATGCTTTGTACCCTTTCATTATTATTTGGCACTTGCAAAAAAAAAAAAAAAGGAAGAAGAAACTGCTAAAATTACTAACTAGCTATTAAGCTATTTATATAAATATATATGCACATATATATTTGTGTATATACACAGAGAGCACATACAGGCTTGACTCTCTATATGCATCTCCATAAAATCAAGACCATAAGCAATCCAGAGCTGCATTCTGTCTAAATGGGTCAGTTATAATGAGGAAGCACAACATTTACATGTAGGAAGCAGACTGATCAGGGAGCAGAAAAACAGAATATGTCATCAAATCAGAAAAATATGTATTTACATGCAATTTGCATTAACCAGATTTGCAAGTTCCTAAGTCTTCCTCAAAAATAGAAATTGATTTCCAAATAAATTCAAAATGAATAACAGAATTCAAGGGTGGCAAATATTCACCAGGATTTTTCTTTGTGCTTGCAGAAAAATGAAATGAAAAAACTTGCTTGCTTTCATTCTTGTGATGCTGCATAGGCAGAACAAGGCTTCAGTGAAATGACTTTAAAAACACTATGCTTTTCAGAGATTCAGAAATAAGTAAATGGTGCTGAAATAATCTTCAGATGCACTTTTAAGCACTAAGACATCCTATCACGTTCATTTATTTTCAGCTTGACCAGAAATATTAGAACTGAAACGCTCTGAATATGCTATGCTCATCTTGCTAAAGCAAATACAGCTGCAACATGCAAAATGAAATGCAGAATACAAACACTAGATATACTAAAGCTATCCCATACATGGATACTATAGCGAGGCTGCTTCAACAGATAACAAAGCAAAAATGGAAAAAAGGCAGAGAAATATCAATGCTGCCTAAATATATACAAAATGCCCCCCGAGTCTTTCTTCATTCTAGATTCTCATTCAAAGGTGTAAATACTGGTTATTTTGTTAGATCTACAGCTGCAAGTAGCTGAGTGAGTAGCTCTCTCATAGTTCACACTGGGCTCCCTTGACCCACCTAGACAAGCGTGAAAGCATGAAATAAATGAAGGTTAACAAAGACTGGTCTGAGAAGCAGTGTGCATTTAATGCCTGCAGTATTATTAGGACAAATGTAAAAATCTCTATTTGGAATATTTTGGTATATTATGTACCAGATAGCAATCACAATATTAACACTAGCTGCCACTGTAGAAAGACGAACGCATGTAAATCGCATGAATAAAATCTTTCCCATCTGTCACACAAGGATATTCGCTACCCTTACAGCATGCTGCAAAGCAAATAAGGAACTGGAAAATAATCTTCTCCGTGCAAACAGAAAGCAATTTTATCACAATACCTTTCTGTGTTTGTCCCTCTTCCATATTCTCTTCCATGGCTACCTTTCTTCACTAGAAACAGCTACACAGAATTAATCAAAAGCTTCAGTCAGATGTAGGAAAAAGTGTGGATTTTTTTTTCCCTGGGAAGCTCCAACAGCAGAGGCTTAAGCAAGTCCTCAGAGCTTAGCTAAGGCTCCCTCACTCTCCTTGTTTGCTTGGAGACAGGCTGTCAAGTGTAATTTCATTCAAATTACTCTTCCATGAAGATTATCAATTTTTCTTCTCAAAGCTGCCCATTGTGTAGCACTGTAAGCAGGTATTCAAATGAACAGCCTGTGAATTTTGGGGGGAAATTTGGTCTGCACCCTTATAGCAACGTCTCTGATTTATAAGCCTTGCTTTGCATATAAAATGGAGAAAAGAAATCGAGATTTGTATTGAAATTTGTGTGTTAAATTGGAAACAGGCTGTACTGAAAACAGATGGAGGGGTGTCCTCTTAACGGGAAGCAGACCACCAACCCATAATTCCCCCTATTTGCTACTGAAGTGGGAAAGCCCAGATGCCTGTGGGTTCTTTATGCTGTATTACTTGTCTTCCTCCCTCCCTCCCTCCCTTCCCCCTTCCGCCCCCCCCACCAGCACATACAAGAATAATATGACGCTTCATTTCCCTTCTTCTCGTATATCTGTATCATTTGGAAATAACAAATACATACTATTGTACTTGTATTAGTCTAGAAAACATCTTTATAATAGCATCTTTTAATATGTATCTGTGTGCACATACACACATACAATTGCTGTTAAACACATGACATTAATTACTGCAAATTATATGCACCCTATACATTAGCTAACATCAATGCCACAATAGACCCGAATTTAGGGAGGTTTCAGATTTAAAGCAATCATGCATCTATTCCTTGACAGATAATATTCAAAATTAACTGTAAACTTCAACACCCTGTTCAAAAAAAATGGACCTTTTTTAAGATGGCGAAGCACCACATATGTATGTAAGCAAGCATACACTAAT